CTGCTGACCTGGAGCACAGGAATGACAAAGGAACCCCCGGGATTACAGCAGGAAGGTCCATGCATGGGCAGAGCCATGCCCCATGGCGTGCCATCGCAAGGTGCAGGGCTGGCCCCCGCAGCGTGCTGCCCTGGGACCTCACCTCAGCAGCTCCTGGCGGACCTTTTTTGGTTCTAGGAGATAATTATTATGTCAAAGAAAATATTGGATCAGTCGACTACAACCTACCTTTAATAAATCCATGTTGCACTACAGACCAGTTTCTGTTTACCTTCATATCTTTGATTATTTTGTTTCCTTCAAAATTTGTTCTAAACCCTTGCATGCTGTGAAATCAGACCAAGGGACTTCTATTTTGCTGGGCCACTTTGTCACTGTGTTTGCTATTCTTCGTTCATAAACTACCACATCTTGGTAGATTTATTTCACCTTATTCTCTTGAACCCGGGCGTTCTGGTGCTGTCTCTGCAGCAACTGTGGGATGAAGTTGTGCTTAACTTGGGAGGCCTGCATGTTGAACTTTGAGATCTGTTTTTGCCTTTTATATTCATTTCCATTCCCATACAATAACTTTCACTAATCAACTTGCTTTTGCCTTCACCTTCAACATGTTCTGTATCAAAAACAGACGCAAATTATTCATTTTGCTGTTTGGCCATATCTGGGGTATCTTAATCTCGATCTCAGTCTTCAGTGTACTACCCTTGTATTTCCCCTGTTTTCCTTCCATTTATATACTGATTTTTTTTATTGTTGACTTTTAATTTCTTTTGCAAAGTGTAACACAGTTTGACTTCTGATGATTCGCATATTATCCTTGTATTTCAAATTCTCACAGACCTACACAAAGATATCACTCCTTTACTGCTATATCTCAATTTTGATTTTTCATTAGCTCATTGCATACTTCTTTTGGAATTAGTTTTGCAATTAGTCTCAGTCAAACTTTTAAAATATCCTTTTCCAATATGAATTTGACTACCCAGCTTTGTCTCTGTCCTTCTATGTGCTTTACTCCCCCTTACTTCTTCAAGTCTATCTAATAGACTGAAGACAAAATACTCGTTGATGTGGAACGTCATTTCACCTCCTTTGCCTTCTCTCTGTCTGTCCTTAAATGCAGACAGTTTCATTTCCTACTTTACAGCTGTCCCAGCTGTTTCATGATACCTCAGTTACCTCCATAATATCAGGTTACATGTCATGCTGTAAAAGACTATCAGGAAAAACGGACAAGTGTGTTGAGGTGAAGTCTTAAACCTTATCTTCAAGGTAGAAATAGTGCCAAGTGCAGTATGAAGCTGTGGCCGGTTTGGCCTTGGCTTCCCCTTGTTGCTGGTGTACCTACCTGTGCTCTCACCAGGGCATTCAGATCGCCGAAGACTGGCTCTGAGCTCAGGTCTCAGTGTAAGGGTGGTCAGCGTTATTGCCTATATATCTCTGAAGCGTGGTCCTGCGGTGTGGGAGCTGTGAGCCATCCATACTGGACAGTCATTTTCTGTAGATGACACACCATAACAAAATGGTATAACAAAGTTGAGCCTACCCCAGAAAACTCCTTTAATGCCTTCCTCCTGCCCCCTTCCTCTTTTAGACCCTCGAGGAACTCACCTCTGGGAATTTATTCGAGATATTCTTCTCAATCCTGAGAAAAACCCAGGATTAATCAAGTGGGAAGACCGATCAGAAGGTATCTTCAGGTTTTTAAAATCTGAGGCTGTGGCTCAGCTCTGGGGAAAGAAGAAAAACAACAGCAGCATGACCTATGAGAAACTCAGTCGGGCTATGAGGTGAGCTGAGAAGACACCACAGAAACCTGCGGTAGATACAGAATCACAACCTGAACTGAGAATCTGGTTAATTTTTCAAAATGAATTGTAAGCAGCTCCAGTTGCTTTATTTGACAACCAAGTCTCTCTCACTGATTTTGAGAGTGGTACATTGCATTTTTGTTTGTCTTTTCTTTTTCTTCCTCCATTTCTGCATAGTAAGTCCACAAAAACCACCAGTGGAACTGCTTGACTGTAAGAGGGAAAAATGGGCAAGTGGGCTGAGGTGAAGTTCACAATGTATTTTTAAATGGAAACTGAGATTCTTACCTGGTCTGATTTCAGATGCTGGCTTATCTAGAAAAACCCCATGAAAATTTGCAAGAGTGTATGATAGATATGGCAACACTTTGTGGCTTGGAAAAGGGTGAATTTCAAATTCAGAAGACAAATAATGTAAAGTAAAAAGAAGATAACCTTTTTTTTTGACTCTATTTCAGTTAGAATAATCTTAGGTATTATTTATAACAATAGAAAATAAGGACTTTAAAAATGTCTGTGGGATTCCCTAGCTGGGAGTGTCCTTTTAGGACTCTACAGGAAATGAATCTTAAATCTCTTTCTATGTATTTCTTCTAACAGATATTATTATAAACGAGAAATCCTGGAGCGTGTGGATGGTCGGAGATTAGTATACAAATTTGGAAAGAATGCCCGTGGCTGGAGAGAAAATGAGAATTAAATATGTCAAGAAACAACATATAAAACATCTGGATGTAAATATTCAAAGACTATTTTCTTATATTTATGTACCAAACTGGGGTGAAAAACCAATTCTACTTCTGTCGGGAAGAAGGAACACTATCATTATTGGTGTTAAAATTATTTTATTTGAAGTATGTCCTGTATGGGGAAAAAATGTACACAGTTTTCTGTGATATACGATAACATTATAGAATTATGATTATTTTTCCCTTCTTGTGAAGTTTTTCTCTTTTTTTTTTTAAATCATACAGGCGTAATGTGATTTATGACAATGCTGTGAGTCATGCAAAGAAAGGGAAGGAGGGAAATACTAGGGCATTTAGCGAGTATGATAATCCACTGCAGAAGGCAACTACAAGTGGAGGAAACAGTAAGCATCTCTGAGCCAAGTAGTTTTGTTCCATAATCATCTGGTTTGTAGCTTTCATTGGCCAATATCACTTGTTCCTTCCCTCCTCCATTTTCTAAGTGTTTAAACACTTAGAAAACTTAGTGGCTTCCAGTTGCTTTTGTTAAGTTGGACGGTGGGTTCGTCTTCAGTTAGCTCATCCTAGCCACAAGGAGCAGTGGCTCTACAAGGTGGCTGTGAGCATTTGTTTGGGGAACTCATACTACCTCCACCACTGGTACCTTCTTCTGTAGGCAGAAGTTCAGGACTTGACCTTGCCTGGTACTGAGTATCCTCCATAATCTCCAAAGGGCATTCAGCTCATCCCAGGAAAAGGGCTATTCATTTTTAACTAACATCTCTGAGGTGAACTGCAGGAAGAGAGTCAGTCTCAGGGACCAAAAGCTATTGAAGGGAGATAATTGTTTTCTGACTGGGAAAACTTACTAAAATGCCCCAGTTTTCCATAAAAATAATTAAAAATCCTCTTACATTCCGAATTAGAGCATTCAACCTCATGCCACATAAATTGGTGAGGTAGTAGACAAGTAAAACTTATGTACTAATCCCATAACATGCAGAAGAAGCCTCCCCTGTTCCTTCAAGCCATATGGTCCTCCTGGCAGGTCAAGTTTCACTTGGACAGATACTTTTCAAAAAGCCTTTGAGAAAGGCGAAGCTCCAGTGCATGTAAAACATGAGTTCACTTTGCTTTTCTCAAATCTAAATCTACATCCTTTGTATTTATCAGCTTTGCTTGGGATTCTTAGTAGGGAAAAAAAACTTGCCAACATGAAGCCACTCAGGCTTTGGGGACATTCAGATGTGGGTCAGTATTTTGGGCTCACCTCTAGCAGTGCTATGCAGAGACTGAACATTCATTAGCAGCTTCTTCTTTCTCTAAGTCACAAATGCTTCCTCCTGGAATCAAGCACGTACAGAACACGGGGAAATAAAAAATAGAGGAGGTGGCACGTCACCAGGTCACTGAGTGCATGAGATGTGGGAGCTGAGAAACAGGATTTTCTTGGTGATGTTAACAGAGGTGAAACCAAGATCATTTCCAATTCACTTTTTTCAGGGATGAGGAATTTGGAAAACAATATCAAGAGATATTGGGGGCTGAGAAGTCCAGGACAAAAAAAGGAAAAAAAAGAAAAAAAAAGAAAAAAATTTAGGCATATTAAATCTGTACTGGCAATATCCATTTCCTCAGGTATTGCCTGGATTTGATTCCAGATTTGCTTGAAATGCAGCAGGGTGCAGCTGGAGGTTGTAGGCTATTCCATTTTTTGCTTATCTTAAAAAGAAATAAAGATGAAACCAAAAGACAACAGAATTATCAATATAAAGGTCATCAAATGTGCTTAGCAACAATTTGTAGGCAAACACGAGAGCCTAACTTGTTATCTACACATGTAGGGCATGTTAAACAATAACACTACCTCCTACACTGTGTCACCATCAATTACCCATACATGACAATTTTTACTTTTCATAACCTGGGTGGAGAGAAGTTCATCTTATTTACAAATCAAGTAATCAGCCTCTGTATTTCAAAGCATTTTTTTTTCTCTCAGTGTATATCTCTCTCTCTCTCTCTTTTTTTTTTTTTTGGACTGACTGAGCTGGCATTGCTTGCTTTTGCGCAACTCACTGATTTCCTCTTTTTTAGCTTGATTGACTACATTCCACTCCCTTTGCCTTCATTTATAGTTCATATAACAAGAGTCAGGCCAGCAGATCAGGAGAGCACCTTCACTTTGCTCCAAAGAGCGCTTCTCCCTGCCACCCCATGTTATTTGCAGCCCTTCACTCCATGCTCTTCACCACTCCAGACAACACAGTGGGTGAAAACCTGAAGTCAGTGGTACCAGCACAAATCCACTGACACCAGGTTTTCACCCGCTCTTGCTCTGGGAGCAAAGAGGGATAGTGGAGATCGGTAGCAATACTGGTGTACTTCATCTCAGGTTAACGTATGTCATCTAGCAAATGACTGTAATTCCTTTGTAAAGCTGCTTTTTAACCAGATCTCTCACCAGGCTTCCCCGGAAGTAAAATGAATTTGTGGATATACATGTGTTACCCCTTTGCGACTGAGCAGCAGCTAAACCTACTCTTAAAAGTTTTGAGCAATAAAGCTTCATCGAGAAGCATGCTGGATAAATCTAGAGAGTGATTTACCCAGGGATGCAGTACAAGTGCTATCGTTCACTGTCATATCTTTCAGCATGTGGAAACCATGCGATCTGTGTTCCCATTCTGCACGACCTTTCAGCCTAGCTACTTGTCATTCAGCATTACAATAGCACCAAGTTGGAATAGAAGCTGGCCAACGTTTACTCTGTTTTACAAATATATTAACCTTTGCCTAAGACAAACACAGAGGACTATTTAAAACTACAATTCTTGCCAAGGACAGATGCAACCAACCAACCAAAGGGAATCCTTTTACTGAACCTAAGCAAATGGAGAAAATGAAGAGATGAATGTTTATGTAAATTACTATTTAAACAAAAAGCATTTCTGATTGCTCTTTTATTTTATATTTCAGAAGCTGAGCAATCATATTTTTAGATATATCCTTTAAGTCAGCAGCTGCTGAACTGGTAGCACCTGTGTATAGATTTTTATTGTACCATAATTTTTCATATGTATAAAGCTCTAGATAGGAAAGTATATTATATTTATACAGTTACATGCAAATCACAGTGTCAAAGGCGTTGGCGTGAGCACTCTCAATCTGCGTTTTCTGTACAAACTTAGAGCAACTTACTGCAAAAACATCCTGAGAAACTGTGTGTAGATTGATGAACTACACAGACACTAAAACGCTTAGTTATATTTTCATCTTTATTTCTACAGCAAATGGCATAATTCCTGCTTGCTTCTCACAGCATCTTCAATGTATAAATGTGGAAAAAAATCCACGTTAGCTATTTCACTATTTCCATTGTACATCTCAGCTTGGGAACTATGTATCACAAAATGGTTCTAAAGACTGTTTCTATTTTTATGGATATGCTATAAATTGAAATAAAACTCATGAAAGAAATTTACTGATGAATGCTTATCTTCACCTTTTTACGTCTTGAGACTGAAAGTGAATGATGTGGATACATTCAATGCGGAGAAAGAAATGATGTAACTACCACAAAAAATCCAATAGCTAAAATGTATTATTAATATGCTGAATAGCCCACTTATGGTAAAGTTATTAGGTCTCCAGACCTGGGTAATATCTCAGAGGGCTCGCTGGAACATTTCCTTGTGTAGACAGAGCGAGACTGCCTTTCTTGTTCAGCTGCTAAACCTCACACAGGTCTCATTTCAGCACTGATTTAAGGAGTTTTAATTTAAGCCTTTTAAGGAGTGCACAAGGACTAGGCTGAATAAGGATGGGACTACTCACGCTGAGCATTTCCTTAACTGAATCAAGGCAGCTCAAACAAATGAAATACTTCGATTGTGCTATTTTTTCATCTAAATGATTGCTACAAATGCTACAAAAATACTCAGTGAACACAGAGAACATCTCTCTTCTGCTTTGGTTTGCAGCTTGGGAAAAGAAAAAGAAAAACACGATAATTAAGAGAAAGCCGAAGTGGGCCGATACAGCGCTTTATGTCCGTCTCAGTAGAAGAATACATTTGGACTTCAAACATAGGTACAACTCACATGTTTAGCATGTAAAATCAGGCCAGTTCCTCAAAAGTGTTGTCACAGTTTGAGTCTGCAGGAATCCTGAGCCAGGTTTCAAAAGGAATTGGAACCAGACTTCAAGCAAGTTCAGACTGAATTTTAAGTAAGCACCCAGGTGGTTTTCCAGTAAGTGGTTGGGTCTTTTGTTTCAAGCAAGCTGAGGCCAATATTTGAACCAAAGACAAATTCAAATACTGTTTGGACACGTGCAAATAAACACATACTTTAAAAGTATTCTTTGGTCGTGACCTAACAGCGAGCAAAACGTCAGCTTTTGGCCACAATCTGTGACCATATGAAAGATTCAAGGCAAAATTCAGAATTTGCAAATCCTCTGTAAATTGACAATAAGTAAGAGGAGCACTGTAACCTGAATCTACCACGCTATGTCTAAACCTGGTACGAAGGTATGTGTATATCTGCATCAAGGACAAGTGAGAATTGGTTCAGGTAAGTGAAATCTGGTATTGCAGAAAGAAAAGCAATTAAGAGTTACCAATACTAACAGCTTCCAAGAATTTCAGGAGGATAATTATAATAATTTAAAAGATGGATTATCTCTGGGTCTTTAGCGTTTGTTCCCCTGCTAATGGCACTTTGCACAATGTGCTCTAAGTCCTGAGCTGCGATGAATCAATGCAGCGCTGCTGAGCCCTGTGCCAGCCAAGAATTTCCTCTGATAAGCACTCTTGCTGTCTCTGCCCAGATATCTAGCCCCTTCAGTCACCTGTCTCTATTTCAACATGTGAAAATGGTGGAGAAAATAATGCAAAAAGAAGAGCAGGAGAAAGAGACTGAGCAGACTGTCTGATCTTACTGCCCTGAACAGCTCTGTTTGGAAAAACAAAGGCGATAAGCCCCAAGAAAAAGTCGATGACACCTAAGTCGGTCCATTTATAGCCTTTTCATCACAGGTTGGTTGCAAAAGTTAAATGCAAGTTGGTGTTTACAAGTCTGATTATAACTGTAAAGACAAAAAGAAATTAGTGTAATATACCTATGTGCGCTGCTGAGTCTTGTGATCCATGAAAGCATTGAATTATGAAAATAAAATGACCAAAAATCTTATTTCCGCTGCTTTTTTCCCCTCTGTCTTCAAGATACTGTGATATTCTCCTTTGATTTCATTTCCTTTTGAATTTTCAATGAAAAGATTCAGTTTCAATAAACTGAACGAAGAGAGGGATGGATGATCTATAACTTTGTACCACGTATTGCAGACCACATAGGCAAACTGTGGTTTCTTCTTCCTCAGCTTTTTGGCTCATAATTCAGCATTTATACTGTTTCTGGGAACAAGAGGCTTTGTGTGAAGTTGGGGATAATTTTAATGTAGATATGTGATGTCACTAAAACGAACAAGAAAATTAAAATTATTTTTGAGATTGAAAATGTTTCTTTTCCTCAGATTGAAGTTCTAGTGTATCTTCCCCAAACAATTACTATATTGTGTAGTGTTGTATTTCTTGAGATGAGATGGTTAACTTGCACAGCTAAACCTAGCAGAGAAGTGCCAGTTATTTCTACAGGAAATTTTAAACATTCTCAGATATTTTCATTTTAGTTTGAGTAACCTTGTATTGTTTCCCTAGGAAAAGCGTAACACTAAGATAAGAATATTTAAATGTTCAAAAGCTACCATTGGCAAATGTTATTACTGAAAACTAAACAATCTGCCAACATATCAGGAAACAAACAAACAAACAAAAAATTCAAAATAAAGGAGAAGAGACTGTTGATGTTTTTTTTTAGTTTTGGAGAAAAGATTATGCAATAACATTCCTTTATAGCATGTGGTGTGTGCCGTTTGCATTATAGTCGGAACCAGAAGTGATTCTCATTTAATGAATGGAGTCATCCTTTAAAAATGTATTTTATTTTCTATATCCTATCAAGCAGATGAAGACTCAGGGAAATTTTAGTTACTGACAACACCTTTCAGATAGCTTTCTCTGCAAAGTAGACACACACGTCTGGGATTTATTCATGCTGACATACCCTAGGTGGGATGTTCCCACAGGAACCAGATCTACTGAGCCTTTAAAGAGACTATTTTATTAACATAGTTAGACTAATGATCTGTTAAGCAAACTGTTCAGCAAAGACAACTTAGTGTAAGCTCAAACCTGGTGAGAAGCCCCCAGAGCAGATAGACTGTCCAAAGAAGTTCCAGGAGCCTTGGTGAAACTTTCGTAGTTCTCCAATGATTCACCTGTTTTTAGAAGATCTAAAGATAAAAATATTAGAGTTGCGAGCAAATTTCATCACCCAGCTGGACACGATCTGCACATTGCGTGTTCACTCTGTTTTCATCACTAGCGCAGGACTCAGCTGGTCCTCACTGAAAAGTTTGCTCAGGTGTGAGAATTTTCTAGGACAACCTGATTAATTAAACTTTTTGGGTAGAAATCAACTGCACCTAACATTTGCGATTACATTTTGTTTAAAGTATGATTCATAGATTCGTAGCAGATCTGATATAAACAGTTATATATTTTCATTATAACCTAAATTATTAAAGGCTCTGTCCTATGGATTTTACTTCCTGAAGGATTACTGTCACTGTCTGCCTTACCTACCTTTTTACCACAGGACATCACATTTCACTGTCATCCCTGACACACATCCATGATATTTATCTGGTGCAGAGTATTTGATCTAAAGCATTCCTTTGAACTATAGATTAAAAGGGAAAAAAATCAGATACAACATAAAAAAAATCTAAGCACTATGAATTTTTTTTTTCTCCTCAAATCTTACCTAGGAATGGGAAAGTGAGATGCGCCAGTCAGTATCAGAAATCCAGTTTGTCTTCCCAGTGCTGGCCTACAAGGCCCGCTAAAGAGCAACACAAAACCTTCTTTTTCCCCGAGGCTTTAAACACGGGACTGATGCATGCACAGTACTTCTTGGCCCCAGGGAAATATGAATGCTTCGTAAATATTTGTCATGTGGTGTTATATATTTATGTATGTCTCGTACTTAATTTTTCATTTGTTTCTGAGTCTGCAGTTTTATGCTACCCAAGGTGTTGAGATAGTTACATCTCCCACTGAATTAGTTCAAATGATTTATTGTCTCAATGGAAATATATTGATCACAAAATGAAATCAGCAGGGGGACTTCTTCTTACAAGTATTACTCATTGTGAAAATCTCTTCATTTCCATTGGCAGGCACTTCTCAACTGATTCTGGATTTTTGCATACGTGTATGATATATGCAAGGATTTCCTCATTTCAGGTTGTGGGTACTTCACTGAGGATTTTTAAGCAAGTAGTTTTTTCCGCATTAGTCACACATCTCGCGATTTCTGCAGGCGCTGCTCCCTCTCTGTCTCCTTTATGGAGAGAAGATTATAGACCAAGGTAACTCTAAAAGCCTCATGCT